AATTTGAGAACTACTTTAGAAATCCATCTGCTGGTTTGGCAGTGGACAGACCCCCAGTGAGAGAGTGGAGCCGAGACCCCAGCTTACTAGACTTCTGTCGAGTTTCAAAGCCTGGGGCCAGCTGACCTCCCTGACAGGCAGCACCCCCCCAGCCCAATTCTTACTTCTCTCCGACAGCCGCATAGATCTTCAGCAGAGAAGATCTTGCAGATAAGTGACGCTTGCTTGTTTTCAGACCTGAGTTCTCTTTAGGCTGCCTGGATTGGATAGACACGTCTCCCAGCTGTCTGTGTCTCTCCTTTCCACAACAGATCACTTGGGAGGTACTTGAATCATTTCCGGGAACCTACATTTCTCATTGTGAATTTTAGAGCTGTTCTCAACTTCTCGAGTTGTATGGAGCCATTTATGTGCATGCTTCAGGCCTTTGGACCACTCTGTTTTCATAGCAGTGTTCTGTCCTCTCCATGTCCATCCCTGCTCCCAGTGTCCCCGCTGGTTAGCCTAGCATAGCCCATAGCCACAAACTGTCCCTGAAACTAAAAATTTCTACATTTCCTGAGCACTGGCTAGGTGTCAGGCATGTCATCAGTTATTTGTGGGCATTAACCCATCTACTCCTTACAGCCACCCTATAACAGAGGCGCTGGCACGAAAGCCCCTCTCTGACATGAGAAACCGGAGGCCAAGCTTGGGAGGCGCAGAGCTGGCCGGCGGCAGGGCTGGGACTGAGGGCAGGCAGCACCTGACCCCTGGGGCCCGCCCTCCTTCCCACCTGCTTCTCCACCTCCCGGAACAAGCACTTCCTGCACAGGCTTGCCCCATCCGTCCATCTCTGTGAATTCTGGAGCAGTGTGTTTGTGGTTCCTCTTTGGAAATACTGTCGTTCACATCAGAATATGAGAAAAATTAATCCATGGGCCCACTCTCTGCAAAAATATTAAAATAGACAATACACTGTCCTGTCTAATCAAGAAAATGGGGAGAAAGCACAGAAACAAAATTAGAGGTGATAAAGGGAAAATAATCAAACACAGAGGAAGCCTGAAGAAGCTAGAAATAACATTTTACCTTTGTGCTCATGTGTATTTGTGCTACACAGTTCATAGTTCATACTAGATTTCCAAATGGAAATGTCAAGTATACCTTGTGTGTATGGGTCATAATCTGCCTCAACTGTGTGCTCGTCATGTGAACCCATAAGGTTGTCTCCAGCAGGCACTTCGGTTGTGGTGGTGGGGGGTTGTCCCATGTTCCTCAGCGACACTCACATTTTCCTCTGCTAAAGCAGGAGTCAGCAAACTTCAGCCCAGGGGCCAAATTGAGCTCCCAGCCCATTTTTCTAAACAGTTTTCTTGGCACACAGCCAGGCTGCTTTATTCACATATCATCTCTGGCTGCTTTTGTGCCTCGTCTTTGGTCCACAAAGCCTAAAATAGTTACCATCCGGTCCTTTATAGAATAAGTTTGTGACCCCTGTGCTGGAGTCCTGTAATTTTTCTACTTTCAGACTAGATTCTACTTTACAGAGTGTCTTTTTTAAATATTCTTTTCTATTATGGTTTATCACAGGGTATTGAAAATACCCTGTGATAAACCACATCACAATATCATGAAGGAATATTGAATATACCCTGTGATAAACTCTGTGCTATACAGCAGGACCTTGTTGCTTACCCACTCTGCATATAATAGTTTGCATCTGCTAATCCCACACTAGCTGTCCTTCCCTCCCCTGCCCCCACCTGGGCAACCACAAGTCGTCCTCTGCATCTGTGACTCCGTTTCTGATTCACAGGTAGGTTCATTTGTGTCGTATTTCAGATCCCACACACAGGTGATATCATATGGTATTTGTCTTTCTGACTTCACTTAGTATGATAATCTCTAGTTGTATCTATGTTGCTGCAAATGGCATTATTCCATTCTTTTTTACAGCGGAATAGCATTCCATTGTATACACGTCCTGTACCTTCTTTATCCATTCATTTGTGGATGGACATTTAGGTTGTTTACATGTTTTGGATATTGTGAATAAAGCTGCTATGAGCATGAGGGGCGTGTATCTTTTTGAATTACAGTTTTGTCCAGGTATATGCCCAGGAGTGGGATTGCTGGATCATATGGTAATTCTGTTTTTAGTTTTTTAAGGAACCTGTTTCTCCATAGTGGCTGCGCCGACTTACTTTACCACCAAGAGGGTAGGAGGGCTCCCTTTTCTCTACACCTTTTCCAGCATTTGCTGTATTTAGACTTTTTATTCATCGCCATTCTGACTGGTATGAGGTGGTACTTCACTGTAGTTTGATTTGCGCTTTTCTAATAATTAGTGATGTTGAGCATCTCTTCATTTGCCTACTAGCCATCCGTGTGTCTTCTTTGGAGAAATATTTATTAAGTTCTTCTGCCCATTTTTCTGTTGGGTTGTTTTGTTGTTTTTGAGCTGTATTATCTGTTTGTATATTTTGGAGATTAAGGCCTTAGTTTTCTACTTCAATTTATTGGTTCAGAATTTCCAAACCAAGAGAATTCTGTGGCAGTCCAGTAGTTAGGATTCCGTGCTTTCACTGACATAGGCCTGGGTTCAGTTCCTGGTTGAGGAACTAAGATCCCACAAGCCATGTAGTACAGAAGGAAGGAAGGGAAACAATTAGGGAAAAAAAAAAAAAAGAATTTCCAGATAAAGTAGATGGTGCAAATTCTGCCCTCACACATGTGCATGCTCCACGTACAGTCTCCCAGTTTCCTTCAGATGCTTTTTCAAGCCATGGCCTCTGGAGGGACAGCCTGGAGGCTTCTCTTTGGACCAGTGCAATTGCTGGTTTTAGGAATTCCTGGATATACTGGTTTTCTTTTGCTGCATAGCAAATTATGGTTGTTTAAACACGCAGTTTAAGCTTTCAGTTCTGTCAATCAGAAGTCTAGCATGGTAAGAGTGGCTTCTCTGCTGAGGCTAAAATCAAGTTGTCAGCCGGCTACATTCTCATCTTGAGCATGGGGTCCTTTTCTAAGCTCAACCCTGTTATTAGCAGGATTCAGTTCTTTATGTTGTAGGGCTGAAGCCTCTATATTCTTGCTGACTGTGACCTCTCTCAACTCCTATGGGCCACTTTTGGGTCCTTGTACCACGGTCTCCTCCATCTCAGGATTGGAGAACCTCCTTTTCAAATCCCTCTCATATTTTGGATCTCTCTGCCTTCCTTCTCTGCCCCCAACTAAAGAAAACTGCTTTTAAAGCTCTGGTGACTGCTGGAGAGGGTGTGGAGAAAAGGGAACCCTCTTACACTGTTGGTGGGAATGTAAACTAGTACAGCCGCTCTGGAGAACAGTGTGGAGATTTCTTAAAAAACTGGAAATAGAACTGCCATATGACCCAGCAATACCACTTCTGGGCATACACACTGAGGAAACCAGATCTGAAAGAGACACATGCACCCCAATGCTCATCGTAGCACTGTTTATAATAGCCAGGACATGGAAGCAACCTAGATGCCCATCAGCAGATGAATGGATAAGGAAGCTGTGGTACATATACACCATGGAATATTACTCAGCCGTTAAAAAGAATTCATTTGAATCAGTTCTAATGAGATGGATGAAACTAGAGCCCATTATCAAAGTGAAGTAAGCCAGAAAGATAAAGAACATTACAGCATACTAACACATATATATGGAATTTAGAAAGATGGTAATGATAACCCTATATGCAAAACAGAAAAAGAGACACAGATGTACAGAACAGACTTTTGGACTCTGTGGGAGAAGGCGAGGGTGGGATGTTTCGAAAGAACAGCATGTATATTATCTATAGTGAAACAGATCACCAGCCCAGGTGGGATGCATGAGACAAGTGCTCGGGCCTAGTGCACTGGGAAGACCCAGAGGAATTGGGTGGAGAGGGAGGTGGGAGGGGGGATCAGGATGGGGAATACATGTAACTCCATGGCTCATTCATGTCAATGTATGACAAAACCCACTGAAATGTTGTGAAGTAATTAGCCTCCAACTAATAAAAATAAATGAAAAAATAAATAAATAAAGCTCTGGTGACATTAGGTTAGGCCCAAGGAGTAATCTCACTTTCTTACAGTCTACTCTGATATATGACATTCCTTATGACAGGAGTAATATCTCAGCCTATCTGTAAGTTCCACCCATAATCAATGAGGAGGTCATAATCAAGGATGAGGGTCATTGGCGTCATCCTGGAAATCTGCCTGTGACACTGAATTTTGCAGGAGCCTCGTGTCATCTACTCACCACACACAGGCCTCAGGCCTCAGTAACCAGCCCTGCTCAGGCTTATGAGACCCTAGGCATTTTGGAATACTGTAGACCTTTTTCCTAACCCCCTCATGGGCCGTTCAGCTCCTTGCTCCCCATCCCCATCCCTGCTCCGGCTTTCAGTTTCCTCTTCATTTTTCATGTCTGAGATTGTCCTTTTTTGATTTTTGCTTTCAATATTGGCAAATATTTTAAAATATTTTTGTTACATTATAACCAATATGTTTAAGTGCTTGGAATGGTTGGGGTTTATCCTTCAGCAGCATGTCAGCCGTATTTTCCAGAATTATAGTGTTATTAAACTACATTCCAAGATTAAAACATCCACTCAAGTCAATGGATCCTTAGAGTTCTAACCTCAGTAAGGAGCAACTAGAGCTTTATGAGGAATTAATGGTTAATCAACTTGAAAACTTAATGATGTGTCAGGTCTAGGGGAAATAGTTTCCCTCTTTGCATTAACTCTGCTTACTATATCACTGGGAGGGCCAAGATGTATGAAAACCAATGAAAATAAATAGCAGTATCTTTCTGAGAACTAGACCTTGTCTAATAAAACAGTCAGATTAATGGGAAAAGACAGTTTCCCTAACTGGGTTATCTTGTCCAGTTACTTATTATTTTCAGATAGTTCATCATCACTAAATGCATAGTTATTCTGTTTTCATTTCAAATCTGTGAGTAGTTTTCAAAATTGTTGTGGTGCTTTTCTTTAGATGTGGCTGAGCAGTATTTTCAGGATAGCATGGCTAATCTCAAGGATGCTGAAGGGATGGAGAAAGCCAGATTTCTTTCAATTCAAGATGATTACTGCCATTTCCTACAAGTCACTGGACAAGATGAGGTGAGTGAGTTTGGACCACAACTGGCAGTTATTTACTCAGGCAACCCAGTTGATATCCAAAGGGCGACTCCCACACTCTGCAAGCCTTAAGCACCTACTGTGTACGAGGCATGTGCCAGGCCCCACCAGGGAGAGGGATACATAAGGTCAGGTAGCCAGCTCCTGGATAGGCACTCTTGGGGAACAATAAATTATGAGAACTTAGGTGTCATGTCCACCTGCAAAGCACCCTACTAGACTAGAAACCTTGAGAATCAGATGGACAGTCTCAGCTTATCACAACCTGTGGTTCTAGCTGGCATAGAAGGTAGCAATTAGTGTGTCTGATTATCTTGGCTAATGAATGAAATTTGCATATCTAATAAGAACTACACAGTGCAGAAGTTATGGCTCACTGTCCATTGAACCATACAGGCAAGTTTCCCATGGCTGGTAAAAATGGAACCAGACTCAGTTTAGTGTCATTTAACTATCCCAAGGGTAGTTAAACCCTTGGGAACTTGTTCCATAATAAGCCTAACAGCTACAGGACAGCCACATGCTTGATTTATATAAATAAATCTGTATTTTCAACTCTAACCCATCAAAGTAAATCCTTGAGAGGAAAACGTTTTTATTTCCTCTGCTGTTCTATAGACCTCCTGCCCAGGAGCTCTCTCCCAACTCAATGCTTTACCCTTCTCTCAACTGATGTGAGCTTAAGGATGGATTTTCAATCTAGATGTACCCATGTTCCTCAGGCCAAATAGGGCTATAGCAACCATAATAAATGGAGTTTCCATATTTTTTCTGGATCACTCAACCAAGTAGAGAGGGGCCTTCCAGGGGTCTCGGGTTCTAGAACATCTCTAGAAGCTCTGTGGAGAGCACTCAGGGCAGAAGTCTGACAGGAAGTGTGCCCCTGTCATGCCTTACCCCTTCTAGCTCGTCAGTCATCTTCACCTGCAGAAGGCCCCTTGATTCCATCCATCGGTTGCCATCTCTTCTCTGCCAGTCATCATCTCCTGCCTGGACCACTCTAGCAAACCCTGCGCCCCAACTGCTCCTTCCACTCTTGCCCTTTTCTAATCCATTCTGAATAAGGAAGCCATGGTGATCTTCTAAAAAAGCAAATCTGATCAGCAGGCCTCTATTTGTAAAATACTCCCTTGGCTTCTCAGTGCCCTTAAGAGAAGCTGGAATCCCCCATCGCCCACAATACCTTGCAAGATCTGAAATCTGCTGGCATTTCCAGTCTCATTTTTGCCCACTCCCCTGATGTGTGTTGCACAGTGGCCTTTTCTAGTCCATACTTCTGGTCAGTGTCAGCACTTGTTTCCTGCTCTTGGAAGGTTCTTCATTGATCTCCTGGCTAATGCAGATCCATCTTTCAGGACTCACCAGCTTGCCTGATTCCTCTCCCTCAGTCTTCATTAGATTGTCCCCACTATTTTTCATCATGGAATCCAGTTTAATGTAATTGTATAGCGTAGTAATGTATACCATAATGGCGGCACTTCCCAGGTGGTGCTAGTGGTAAAGAACCTGCCTGCCAGTGCAGGAGACATGCGGGTTCGATCCCTGGGTCAGGATGATCCCCTGGAGGAGGTTGGCAACCCCCTCCAGTGTTCTTGCCTGGAGAATCCCAGAATCTCTCCCTGGACAGAGGAGCCTGGACGGCTACAGTCTATGGAATCGCCAAGAGTCAGACACAACTAAAGCCATGTGGCATGCATGCACACATGGAAGTAAAAAGTTCCTTTGAACTGTGTTAAGATATTCTTCTAGTTGTGCTGCTCTGCCAATAAGAACCCTCTCTAACTTCTTATTCCCCATAAGAAAACCCAAACCCCTCAGCCTGGCATGCCGCCGCCTCTACCAGCCCAGCCCGTGATGCCTGCCTCACCTCCCTCTGCTCCGCTTTCTGTTCTCGGCTGTAGTCACATTCGTCCCCTCACTGGCCCTGAATGTGCCGTGTGCTCGCCCCCCTACCGCTGTGTGCCCAGGTGCCCAAGCCTGCCTCTTAGCCCATCTGAATCCTGATTATTCTTCCCTTCTCTCCGTTAAACTTATCTAACTCTCAGAGACTGTCACAGTCTGGATTTCCTCTATACCCATGTCCATGTGGCATCTTTCCCACTGCCATCTCGACATGCACTTCTATCTCCAGCTTCCCCAATTAGGCTGTAAGTGGCGCTGAGAGCATCCTTTAGGAGAAGGAGCTGGGCTCTTCTTTCCCCCACTGGCTCCTTCAAGCCTGACAGCCAGTTTCCATGGAAAAGCTGCCAAACCCAGCCCTTGCCTCGTGGTCCCTGGGACAGGACATGACAGGCTTCGGCATCAGGAAGACCTGAACCAAGGGGGTCGCACACTTCACGACTGACACATCTCTTCCCCAGCAGTGACTTGTCTTTCCACTAAGAAATTGCTTCTCTCTTATCAGTGCCTTTCCTGGGGTTCCCTGATCCCGACCCCAGCACCTAATTCATATTCTTGCCAATAAAATGAGTGAAGGCCTTGCCAGTTCCTCTGACTGGGGCGTACTCGCAGGGTGCCTTCAGGGCTAAGTGGTGGGCGAGGCTTCCTCACTGGTTTCTGCTTTGTTCGGCTCTTAAATTCCGCGTTTGTGTTCTCTGACTGTAATCATGCTTTCATGGAGGACATGGTGGAAGAATTTCGGAGAAACATGGGAGATCGACATGCAGGGCTTTCCCTCTGTATGTCTTAGTGTCATACTGACTGAAGTGTCAGTCTGACTGAAGAGATGAATTCCAACCCGTATTTTTTTTATTCCATGTGGGTATAAATAAGTCAGATAAACCAAACAGAATGTCAGACCTATTTAACTTTTCACCATGTCCAAATGTTTGCTTTTCATTTCCTGAAGTATTTCTTGTGAGAAACAGAAAACCCTGGAATATATTCTGGATACTCTGTAAGGAGATAAATTGCCAGGAAACTATAGTTTTCACTTAAATACAAACATCAATGTGCCCAGAGAAAGAAGAGCCTGAAACTAAGAGGGATTGAAGCGGGCAGGACCAGACCCGGCTCTGCCGCTGATGGGCTCTCTGACTCTGAGCGAGCTTCTCAACTGCCCTGTGCCTCAGTTTCCTCCTCTGTCAAACAAGGACTAAAATCGTCCTTATGGAAAGGAAAGAGTGCAAGCTAAAGGAGCTCACACACATAAACTGTTTAGCACAGTTCTTGACACGTAAAGGACACAATGCATTTCATGGTACTTTTTATTCTTCCTACTCAGCTAAACAGACTGGTTCCAAATTGGGAAAGGAGTATGTCAAGGCTGTATATTGTCACCCTGCTTATTTAACTTGTATGCACAGTACATCATGAGAAATGCCGGGCTAGATAAAGCACAAGCTGGAATCAAGATTGCTGGGAGAAATATCAATAACCTCAGATATGCAGATGACACCACCCTTATGGCAGAAAGTGAAGAACTAAAGAGTCTCTTGTAGAAAGCGAAAGAGGAGAATGAAAAAGTTGTCTAAAAACTCAACATTCAGAAAACTAAGATCATGGCATCTGGTCCCATCACTTCATGGGGGAATAATCAATGGGGAAAAATAGAGGGGGAAACAATGAAAACAGTGAGAGACTTTATTTTTCTGGGCTCCAAAATCACTGCAGATGGTGACTGCAGCCATGAAATTAAAGGACGCTTGCTCCTTGGAAGAAAAGCTATGACGAACCTAGACAGCACATTAAAAAGCAGAGACATTCCTTTGCCAACAAAGGTCTGTCTACTCAAAGCTGTGGTTTTTCCAGTAGTCATATATGGATGTGAGAGTTGGACTATAAAGAAGGCAGAGGGCCAAACAATTGATGCTTTTGAACTGTGGTGTTGGAGAAGACTCTTGAGAGTCCCTTGGACTGTAAGGAGATCCAACCAGTCCATCCTAAAGGAGATCAGTCCTGAATATTCATTGGAAGGACTGATGCTGAAGCTGAAACTCCAATACTTTGGCCACCTGATGCAAAGAACTGATTCATTGGAAAAGACCCTGATGCTGGGAAAGATTGAAAGCAGGAAGAAAAGGGGATGACAGAGGATGAGATAGTTGGATGGCATCACCAACTCGATGGACATGAGTTTGAGTAAGCTTCGGGAGTTGGTGATGAATAGAGAAGCCTGGCGTGCTGCAGTCCATGGAGTCACAAAGAGTTGGACATGACTGAGCAACTGAACTCAGCTCAACTCAACTAAAATGGGTTCCTGTAACATCTGAGGTGGCTTTTCTCCAGGGGTCTTTTATGTATTCTCTCTTCAGAGTTCGCACCATCCCTGACCCCCTCCCAACCCCTCCACCCCATGTACATTATTTCCTGATTCCTATTTGAGAAGGTAAGTAGGCTCAGCTCATGAGACACACTACCCAAACTCATTCTCCCTGAAAATGAAAAGGCATATCATGTGTATCAGTTACATCATTTTCTTAGGAGGCACTGGTACTGGCATTTTCTTTATCCAGCTTTGAACTTAAAAAAAAAATCATTTATTTAAATTGGAGGATAATTGCTTTACAATATTGTGATGGTTTTTGCCATACATCAACATGAATCGGCCACAGGTACACATGTGTCTCCCCCATCCCCACCCCATCTCTCCAGGTTGTCCCAGAGCACGGCTTTGGGTGCCCTGCTTCATACATCAGACTCGCCCTGGTCATCTGTTTTACATATGGTGATGTATATGTTTCAATGCTTTTCTCTCAAATCATCCCTCTCCTTCTCCCACTGAGTCCCAAAGTCCGTTCGCCCGTGCCTCCTTTGCTGCCCTGCACGTAGGATCGTTGGTACCATCTTTCCAGATTCCATATATATGCATTAATATATGGTGTTTGTCTTTCTGACTTACTTCCCTGTGTATAATAGGCTCTAGTCTCATCCACCTCATTAGAACTGACTCAAATGCATTCCTTTTTATGGCTGAGTAATATTCTATTGGGTACCATAACTTCCTTATCCAATCATCTGCCGATGGACATCTAGGTTGCTTCCATGTCCTGGCTATTGTAAGTAGTGAAGCAATGAACATTTTTATTTAACCGACTGCTTTTTATTCCTTTGGCAGAGAGCCACTTCCATCCTTAGAGAGTCCCTGGAGGCCAAAGTGGCCGTGTTTGGTGATTTCAGCCCTGAGGTGGCAGAGACATATCGGCTCCTGGGTGTGGCTGACCTGGCACAGGGGAACCAGACCGGGGCCCACAGGAAACTGAAGAAGGTAAAGCTGTAGCCCAACTAACTCGGAAAAAAATCCTCCCGCCCTTCCTGCCTCTGCACCACACTCTTCTTAAATGAAACTTTACAGGTGGCTTATTTAGGTTAGATGGCATCAGTGTTGCAATTGATCTCAGCTAACACTTTTTGGGGCAAAAGATACAGTAATCCTCTTGTGCACATAGATTTTTTAATAAATTATCAATTATTCTTTACTATGCAAATAATTTTAAATTTGTAAATAATGTAATTCATCAATGTTATTTTACTCTTTCTGTTCACTCAGTTTACAGAGGAACTCTTCCATATGTTCCTCTAGTACTTATGTTTATTTCTTTTTAAATTGGAGTTTGTGTGGAAGGCATAAGGTATGGCTCTAATGTTATTTTCTTCCCAAATGGCTGCCCAGTTGTCCAGCACCATTTTATTAAAGAGTCCATCTGTGCTCTAGTGAGTTAAGATAACACTTTCATTATATACTACATTTCCACATGTACTTGAGTCTATTTCCAAATTTCTTGCTATTCTACTTTTTTCTTTGTTTATTTGAATTCCAGTACCTCATTACCTTAATTATAGAGATTTCACAGCATGGTATAGTATCTGGTAGGGTTAGACTCCCCTCATTATTTTTTTATAAACCCCTAGAATATCAGATTTTCTAAATATTCTGGCATGTTTATTTTGCCACATGAATTTTGGTATCAACTTGTCTAGCTCCATTAAAATCTGGTGATATTTTTTGGAGAATTGTGTTACTTATAAATGGGTCTCAGGAGGACTGACATCACTATGATGTTGAGTCATTCTACCAGAGAACAAGGGATGTCTTTATCTGTGTTTATGTCTACTTTAGCCTCATTCAGGAACATTTTAAAGTGTGCCTCATATAGATTCGTACATTTCTTACTAAATTGATTTCTAAGCATTTTATATTCTTTAATGTTATTATAAGTGGAGTTTTATCCACTATTATGTATTTTGACTGGTTATTTTTGTGCAGACAAAGACCATAGGTTTCTCTGTGTTAATTTTATGTTCTGCTAGCTTGCTTCTTTTGCTACTTGAGTTAATTTGAGCACTGATTCTCTCAAGTTTTCCAGGTATACTATTATATCATCTGCAAACAGTTTAACTTCTGTTTTCCAAATTTTATGCCTCTGATTGATTTATTTTTGTCTTATTGAATTGCCTCATACCTCTAGTACAATAATAAATAATGTTGGAATGATAGGCATTCTCACCTCATTCCTGGTCTTAGTGTAAATGTCTCTAGTGATTCCTCATGTAATATATGCTGGCTTTGGACTAAGATTTATATATTTTATTGTGGTTAGGAAGTATCCAAGAATTGCTATGTTTATGAGTGTTTTTTAATTAGAAATAATTGCTGGATTTTATTTGATAAGATAATTCAGTTTGTCAGCATCAGCGGAGATAATGAGATGATTCTTCTTAGATCACTTAATATGGATGCATTTTATTATAATATCAAACCAACCTTGCATTTTTGGAATAAATCCACTTAGTCCTAATGAATTATTCTCAATGTGATATTGATTTTGTTTGCTAATATGTATTTTTTGCAACTATTTTGTTTTGTACCAATACTTTTAAGTAATATTTGTCTAAATATCAATGTTATTTTACTTCATAAAAATAATTTGGAAGTTTACCTTTATTGTCTGTGTACTAAACGAGTTTATACAGCATTAAAACTATCTAGTCTTTGAAAGTTTACACCACCTGTGAAACTCTTTAGGCATGGTGCTTTTAGTGGGGTGATTTCCTTGATAATTTTCTGTGTTTCTTTTACAAACCAGTTGGTCTGTTGAAGCTTTCTATTTCTAATGGGGTCACTTTGTTAAACTATGTTTTCCCAGCTAATTATCTATTTCATTTACATTTTCAGATTGATTTGCATAAAGATTTGCCAAATAGTCTGATGAACTTTTAAAATTTCTACTTTTTTAATAGTTATTTTCCCATTTTAATTCTTAGTTGGTTTTTTTTCACGCTTTTTTCTTGACTGAGTTAGTGGTTTGTCTATTTTGTTAATTATTCTTAGAAATGGGATTTGAATTCCATGGATAAATGGCATTCCAATTCTCTATTTCATTGATTTCTGATTTTATCTTTATTCTTTCTTTCCTTGTGACTTATTTGTTTTACTCTGTTGGGATTTTTCCAGCCTTTTTGAATTGGGAATTTAATTCATTTGAGTTTTCATTTTTATGATATAAGCATTTTAGGCTATGAATTATCCTCTTATTATTGCTTTAAATGAATTTATAAGTTCTGTCATGTTGTGTTTTCATTACATTAATTAGTTTTAAAATGGTGAAAACCTATTTAAGTAAACTAATTGCCTAAACCAAAAGAATTAACTTTAGTTCTGAGTGAGCTGTCCTTTAAGTCAAGACTTCTTCTCTTTTTATGACTTCTGATTCTGCTGCAAAAGTCACCAGATTTGGTAACATGCATGTTGGCTATTTTTTAATGAGATAATACATGTTCATTATCAGTCTACAAGTTATTGGATATCTTCTATGGGCCAATTACTGTTGTAGGCAGAATGGGGAAAGACAATGAATAGCCAAGAAAAATATGCCTCTTGTCTTTGTGAGACTTTCTAGTCTAGCCAGGAAGATACATCATACCAACCATTTTAGAGAAGTTAGACATGACACCGATGCCAAAGACTAACTTATGGTGAGGGAAAGGTGAGAAAGGGAGTCGAGGGTGGCAATTGCGCTGGGTTTCTCCAACCCCCACTTTTAAGCTAATGCTTATTGAGTGACTCTTATGTCCCCAGCACTAAGTTAAATGATTTATCTGTTAACTTATATAAGCCTTATAGAAACCCTAAGATTTGGATACCTCTGCTGTTTTCACAGAGAGGGAAACAGGCTGAAAGGATGTGTCTGGGCCTGGACTGCAAAGCTGGGAGCCGTCAGAGTGGGGATTTAGCACCAGGCAGCCCATACTGTGACATCTACTCTACACTACATCACTCTCCCCTCGTGGGCTTCCAAATAAGAATCTGTCTGAATAGGTGCCTCTTGTGCTTAGAGGAAGTTTGGAAACCAGTGGCAGAGTACAGAGAATGCCAAGATCAGGATAAGTAGGAGCCTTTGGGTTGCCACTGACAACATAACACAAATTAGCTTAGGTATAAAGAAGCATCTATTGTGTTATGGTTTCCAAGGAAGCTCTGACAGGTGTATGATTAGCAGCGCAAAGACCCAGCGGAGCCTCAAGAGAGAGAGTAAAGGCCAAACTCAAGTGGCACCAGGGTGCTGTCTGCTCAGGAACCCTGCCTGCCTCTCTGCACCTTCTTCTCCTCCTCGCTCATGGCAGCGTCTCCCCTGCCAGCAGGGGATGGCGGCCAGCCCTCCAGATCTTTACTTCCTGCTCCCACTGCCATTTCTCAGTCAGAGCTTGGAAGTTCTCAGGCAAAGACTGAGAGGCCAGGCTTGGATCCGGTGCCCACCCTTGACCAATCACCCGAGGCCAGGGGTGTGGTACAGGGTAAGACAATGGTGCCTTTCAGGCCGCTGGGTGGCCCACAGTGGAGGGGGCGCAAAAATCACTGTCCTTTGATCAGACAACCTGGAACAGGGTCACTAGAGCCCCTCCCTGTTTGGGGGCATATGCAGTAATAGGCTTGCCACAGCCCCTACCCTTAAGAGAGTCTAGGCAAATCCCCTAACTCTGAAATTATGTGCTCAGTTCTGTGCTACAGGTTCACACTACGATCAGCAGGAGGAAGGGGATTAGAGAAGGTAGCCAGATAAGTAGTCCTAAAAAAGAGCATTGCCGAGCAGGGAAGGGAATTCCCACGCCAGAAACAAGGTGGAAGGGGAGACTCAGGGACAAGATAGTGACTCCTGTTTAAGAAGCTGTTTCTGTGTGGCCCCTAAGTTAAAAATGGTTTTTACAGATGATTATAAAATCTGTAATCATTTCACAGGTGATCATAAATTGATTTGATGGTGGAAAACACTGACTTTAAACCCAAGCTAAGTGAAATTTTGTGCTGTTGGTTCAGTCGTGTCCGACTCTTTAAGACCCCCAGTCCATGGGATTCTCCAGGCAAAGATATTGGAGTGGGTTGCCATTTCCTCCTCCAAGTGAAATTTTATCCCCCTGCCAAAAAAAAAAAAAGAAACCCATTATTTTCATTAGTAGAACTAGATTACCAAAAATAATGTACTTATTATTATTATACCTTAAATTTTGCCTACAAATGTTTGTTCCCTCTCTTACTAGGTAAGTACCTACATAGTCTCTCGATTTCTATCTCTTGGCCTACAAAACCTACAATATTTACCACCTGTCCTTTGCAGAAAAAAATTTCTGAACCCGGCTGTAACATCTGGGAGCCACTGATGGAATTTTAAGCAGGGCACAGTCACTCTATATTTGTTTTTTGGACTTTTTTTTTTTAATCACTGTGAGGACAGTGTTGGAAATGGAATGGGGTGGCCCAAGAATTGAGGCAAGAGGCCTCTGTCATCTCATCTGTAAAGTGGAGATAACAGCAACACGGAACCCGACTTCCCTCCCACGGTTGTTCTGACGCGGGGATGAGACGAGGCCAGCGGGGCTGCTCTGGTCAGGGCTAGGCCTGGGTGCAGAGCGCAGGATGCCCAAGCGCCCAGGTGGAGCTATCCCGGCTGAGGCATCACCCCCCTCCTACAGGAGCCTCCTCTCTGCTCCCCCTTCCTCATTTCTCCCCTGAGCAGTGAAGATGAGAGGGAACACCTCTGCCGAGGGTTCAGCTCAGTCAACTCCAGGCAGGGGAGGGGACCCAGGAGTGCTGGAAGGCAGCAAATGTCAGTGGACGAGCAGGCATTTGAATTGAGGCCACACAAGCCTTCATGTCACCCTCCTGACTCCGGAAGGGCTGCTTTGGTTCCACTACTGACCACGCACTGGGGCCCAGGCTTGCTGCCACTGGGGCAGCTAATACATCACTTCCAAACCTCACAGCAGCCCCCC